TCCTTATATCTCAAACAATTTTTTCAAGTTTCATTAAGCCTATTTTTCCACCTGGAAATTGAAAGGAGGGGGAAGATAGCTCAGTGAATGAAGACTTACGCTCTGAAAGCACAACTCCCTAGATTCCACATTAAAAAAAAAAAAAACCTCAGCATAGCCATCCATGCATTTAACCTCAATATGAGGGGATAAAAACCAGTGGGTCCCCAGAATTCACCGCCTACTCATCCTCGCTGATAGGGTAAGCTTCCTGTGGGTAAGAGACCCTGACTCAAGCAACCACACAGCAATAGAAGACACCTCAAGTCCTGCTCAGGACCATGTGTACATTTTGAGCACATGCACCCAAATTCTCACTTGCACGCACCACACACACACTCTCCCTCACACAAAAACCCGTACCTCACTGAATAATGAGACCTAAATAAAATACCTAGGGCACGGTGTCTAACAACCACCTAGAACCAACTCCTGTAACTTATCTTCTGACTTTCACGTATGCATGACAGCACATGTGCCCAAACACATACAACACTGTTATTTTTTCAGATTTATTTTATTATTTCATGTTTATGAATGTTTTGCTTGAATGTGTATAGGTGAGCTTCATGTGTACCTAGTGCCCTGAGAGTTCCAAAGAAGGCAGAGTCTCTGGGGCTGGAGTTACAGACAGTTGTGAACCACCATGTGGGTGCTAGGAGACCCTCTGCAAAAGCAACAATGCCCTTGACTGCTGAGCCAACTCTCCAGCCCAAATTAAATGTAATTTTAAAAATACTTTACATTTCTTACACAAGCCCCTCATCTCCCTTCTAGCAAGAAGTCTAGGATGAAACCAGTCTGGAAACAACACTGTTCAAGCAACACGTGGGCTAGACCATTACTATAAACCAGGATAACAAGTTACAAAACAAATTAGCTCCTACTAGTTTCAACTGCCTTAGAAAAGTAATATAAAGCCAGGCATGGTGGCACATGCCTTTAATCCCAGCACTCAGGAGGCAGAGGTTCCAGGACAACCAGGGCTATGTAGAGAGACCCTGTCTTTAAAAAAAAAGAAAAGAAAGAAAGAAAAGTATTAAAGACTATAAAACAAGGGTTTCTAACCTCTGATGGCTTTTCCAATAGAAATAATTATTTAGTTGTCAGTGAACTCTCTCAGAGCTAGGACTAAAGTACACTCTTGGAAGAGTTCAGCAGCCAACAAGCAGCATTCTCCATGTAGCAGGGTATCCCTGGGTAATACAGAAGATCAAATGGATGTAACCTTGTTTGAATCCTGGAGTGGTGGTCTTGCTTGTAATCTTAGCACTCAGGAAGCTGAGGTGGGAGAATCCACGAGTTCAAGGGTAGCCTGAGCTACACCTGAGACCATATCTCCAACAATAACAAAAAAATTGTTTCTTCAGCAGGCTCATTATCTGAAACACAGTTTTTCATGATTTATCAGACAATCAGAGAAAACAAAGAAAAGGAATATGGTCAGTATCGGACACCATATTAAAAAAATAAATAAGTCAGAGGCTGTCAGGATAGCTCAGCGGGTACAGACACCTGCTTCCAAACCTGACCCAGTTCAATCCCCAGGATTCACCTAGTAGGAGAAAACCAATTCCCACAGGTTGTCCTCTGAACTCCGCATATGTACCCTCACATGCACACATACAAATACCAACACACCAAAATAAATAAGTAAATAAATATAAAAATAAGTAAATAAATGCCTGTGGTTTGTTTAAACTTGGAAAAAAAAAAAAGAGGATGTAGCTCAGTGTGCAGAGTGCTTGCCTAACATGCAGAAAGCCTTGGGTTCAATCCCCAGCACCAGATAAAGCATACATAATGACAAAAATCTGTAATCCCAGCCTTCAGGAGGTAGAGGATCAGGTTCAAGGTCTTACAGCTAAGGATTAGCTTGGGAAACAAGAAACATGGCCCCCCAAAAATAAATAAACGCAACGTCTGTCTGCCTAGTGCCTTCAAAAAAGTTCTGAGACGACTTGAATATAACATACACAGCCCAATATTTTTCAGAATTGTCTTTGAATTGTTTGGATCTGAATGTCTTTTGTTTATAAGGCAGGGTTTTCTTTTGGTCTTTTCAAGACAGTGTTCCTCTCTGTAACCCTGGCTGTCCTGGCACTCACTCTGTAGACCAGGCTGGCCTTCAAACACACGGATCCACCTGACTCTATCTCCCAAGTGCTGTCGACTAAAAAGCATGGGCCACCACACCCAGCTAAGGCAGCTTCTTCAACACCTCTTCAGATTCTTTTTGTTTTGTTTTGAGACAGGGTTTCTCTGTGCAGCTGTCCTAGAACTGATTCTGTAGACCAGACTGGCCTTAAACTCAGAGATCTGTCTGCCTCTGCCTCCCGAGTGCTAGGATTAAAGGTGTGAACCACCTTTCCAATTCTTTTTTTTTTTTTTTTTTGGTTTTTCGAGACAGGGTTTCTCTGTGTAGCTTTGCGCCTTTCCTGGAACTCACTCGGTAGCCCAGGCTGGCCTCGAACTCACAGAGATCCGCCTGGCTCTGCCTCCCGAGTGCTGGGATTAAAGGCGTGCGCCACCACCGCCCGGCTCCAATTCTTATTCCAGCCACTGAAATGAGCCCTGAAATCTGTTCTCTCTACATCATTCATACATGAGAATGTGCAAGTACAAAGTAAAGTTCAAGTGTGTGCATGGGTGTAGCTCCTCGGGTGCCTTCTACTTTTTGAGACAGTGACTCTCATTGGCCTGAAACTTTGCCAAGTAGGCTAGGCTTAACTAGCCAATGAACTTCTAGGAATCTGCCTACATGACCATCACTGTATTACAGGCACATGCCACTGCATCCAGTTTTTTACCTAGGTTCTGGTGACTTCAACTTGGGTCCTCATACTTCTGAAGCAAGCAATTTATGGACCAAGCCATCTCCCCAGCCCCGTAGGTTATTTTTATGTTCAGTACTTGGTAGTCACAATTTTTTCCCTCAAGACAGCCTTGAACACAAAAGATCATGTTTGTGTTTGGCCTAAAGCAATGAAAAACAAAACCAAAAAAAATAGTAAGATAAACAATTCAGTAAAATAGAGCAGAAGCATAAAGGCTAAAATTCCTAAACTGCATTTATATTCCACCAGAGTCACCAATTGTCACTGGGCACCTTTTCTCTGATCAGTGAAACAGACTACCACCACATATCTCACAGGTGCTCTGAAGGCTGAATTGTGCTGGACCCACACAACTAATCCTAAATAATACTCCAAATACTGTGACGAGTGGCCACAAACAACCATCTACAAATGTTAAACCTCTAAAATTGACACTGATGTCAAATAATGTAATACAAGCCCACAAAAGAACTAATGTTTTTGTGTTGCTTAAAAATCAGGTAGGTGCCTGTAATTGCAGCATTTGGGAGGTAGACAAGGGGATCAGGAGTTCAAGGCCATCCTGTACTACATGAGACTGTCTCAAAACAACAAAACTCAGGTGCTTGGACTGGGGATATTATATATAGACCAGTGACAGAACATGTACCAGCAGCATATACAAAGCCCTGTTCTCAAACCCACTATTGGAAGAAAGAAAATGAAAGTCTAAGAAGAGCATGGTAGTGGTGCATCTGTAACCCCAGCACTAACGTGGCTGAAGCAGAAAGAATGTCCTGAGTATGAGGCCAATTTGGCTATACAGCAACTCCCTGTCTTAAATAAAAAGCAAGCAGAGGCTGCAGAGATGGCTCAGCAAGTAAGAGGACTGGCTGCTCTTCCAGAAGACCAGAGTTCAATTCCCAGCACCCACATGGCAGCTCACAACTGTCTGCAATCCAGCTCCAAGGGATCTGACACCCTCACACAGACATGCAAGCAGAACACCAATGCACATAAAAATAAATAAAATAAAAATAAAAACAAAAAAAACCAGGTACATCAGGGTCAGTGAGATGGCTCAGCGGGTGACTGCCCTCCATCCCCAGGACTAGGGAAAGTTGTCCTGTGATACAGAGTACACACACACACACACATTCACATGACAAATAAAATAAAAAAATTTAAATCATGTAAACGTCTTTACAACAGAAATAGCTTGAAAGGTTGTTTTCCTTTTTTTTTTTTAAAGACAGGGTCTTAAACTTCAGATCCCTCTGCCTTCACCTCCCAAGCAGCCGATATTATCAAATCTCTTGTAAGGTGAGAATGAATATATCTATATCTCGAAAACTCCCCAAACTTTCCATGACAAAACAGAGCTCCATCCAATCACTCAAATCACCGATAAAAGCAACTGGGCAGTTGGGCTGGGCAGACTATCCAACACAGACCTCACAGGCCACTTTCCGTAACTCTCAGCCTGCATTAGTCATATAGTAATCTGACAACCAAGTCTTAACCACATGTAAAACACAGCTATGCTGTTAAGTTCCTATTACGGTATCAGGACAACCGACACTTTAAGCAGTAGTAATGGCTGCTGGACAACAGTCTTGAAGGAGAGAAAGTACACAAGGCAAAACAAAACAAAACCACAAACTGGTAAAAGTGAGAAACCGATTCTCTAGAAAGAGTAACTCCCTAGGCAAAACTGAGGAGCAAGTCGACACCCCTCCAAAGAAAAGGCCTTAATGCACAGAATGCTCCAGCTGAAACCGAAATTCCTGGGAACTGGAGGAAGGAAAATGGGGGAAACCTCTGGGTGCGAGATGACCTGAATTCTCTCGGGAAGAAAAGCAAGCAAGAGGCGTACCGAGCCGAGTCGAATTTTAGGCCCGTGGCGCTTCCAGGAGGGGACAGTTAACCACTTTCTAGTGAGCTCGAAATCGCCAAATAAAAGGCTTAGTTTGTGAACGCGACTGGGGAGCCAAAGGGTCGGGGAGAGGAGGCGCCTTCTCAGGAAGAAAACGGAGACGTTCTCAGGAAAAGAACGCCCCAGGAGGTGGGGAGAGGGGAAGTGGCGGGGACCCCACGCGCGGGCACCGCTCGCGCGCACCAACGACGGCCAGCCGGGGCACTTACGCGGCCGCCTCTTCCGGAGGCCCTCGCCGCGCGGGCGGGCGGCCGAGGCGGTGCCGCTGAGGGAGCCAGGCCGCTCCCGTCTCACGCCCTCCGCCGCCCCGGACCCCGGCGGCGCCGCGCTACTCGCCCGGCGCCTGAGCGGCTCCCGCCTTCGCGCCTCGGCGTCCGCGGACGTCGACTCGCCGGCCGCGGCTGAGGTGGCGGCATCCCTGCCCTGGCGCTCCATAGGCGCGCCGAGCCGGCCCGCTCCCATCCGCAGCAGCCGCTGCTGCCGCCCGAGCCAGCCCCCCAGCGCCGCCTCGCTGTCTTCGCGCAGCCGGCGGAGCGCAGGCGCACGCGGGCTGCCGCCTCTTCCGTTGCGCCAACGTGCAGCGAGCCAATCCGAGCCGAGTGCCGGCGAGTGACAGGGCTGTCGTCCAATCGGCTCCCCGACTCGAGCCGAAGGGCCCGCGCTGCCACCCAATGACAGGCTTTCCGGACAACTAAGTGGAGCAGGTAGGGAGCGATGGCGGCGACGCCCCGACGATTCGAGCGAGGGGCGCCCCCTCCTGCGCATCCACGGGAAGGGTGGCCGGTCGGCTCCCCTTCCTCCCTAGAACTCTCCCGGGACGTCGCCTAGTCTCTCCTCGCTGCCGGGTGCCGGCGCTCGTGAATCGCGCCTTCCTTCGGCCCAGTAGAGCCTCCGAAGCCACTAGTAGCCAGTGTTAGCAGAAGGAAGGACTTTGAGCCGAGACTAACCTTAGCTTTTGTCTCTGGGTCTAGTTCTGTAGCTGCAGTAGGGGCCCCACAACCATCCGTACTGTACAGGCACCGTCTCTTTGTGTTTGGGCTACTACCCTTCATTCCCGGTACCAGAAGGAATGAAAAGACTGGGGTTGGTCTCCATGGCAACTGGCGGGAGGAGGTGGATTCTAAATCCTTCGCTTACCTCCTGTCTGAAGAAGGCTGTGTGAACTGTGTGAAGGCCTGGAAGCTGGGTTGGCGCTCGCGCGCGCGCGCGCGTGTGTGCTTTTTGCGTGTGTGTGTGTGTGTGTGTGTGTGTGTGAGAGAGAGAGAGAGAGAGAGCTGTGTGTGTGTGAGCTTTTTGCATGCCTGTGTCCCAGGTGCGTCCTAATGTTCGCTGAGGACAGAAAAGGCCGAGGGATTCACCATAAGGGTCCCAGGTACCTAACCCCTGCCCTCTGCAAAAATAGCAAGTGCTCTTAATCACTGAACAGTAGCTCCAGCCCCCTGGGTTGTCTTTTTGCAGAAGACAGGGATCATGAGGTCCACTCATACCAAAGGCTCTTCCCAACATCCCCCACTACCAAAGGCTGCCTTGACCCCCAAAGTATCCCCACCCAGCTATACCCCTAAGAGAGTCCTTCAATTTTAAGTGACTGGGGCTTTCTCACAATTTCCTAGTGCCTTTTCCGAGAGGCGATAGTGTCCCCTGAGTAACAGCCCCCTTACCTTCACTTCCTCCATCATTAATAGTACCAGGCTGAGCTTCTTTTGTGTCTGTCGAATACTGCTCCCATATTCACTCCAAACTAGTTCCCCACGGTGTAGGATTAACTCTGGAAACCGTATTTCGTAACTTGAAATTCCAGCTCCTGCAGGAAAACACTCCGTACAGATCTAACAAGAATCAAGAACACCCATAGCAGAGCTGGAGAGACAGTTAAGAGCAGAGGACCAGGATTTGGTTCCCAGCACCCACATGGCGCTCACACCCTTCAGTAACTCCAGGGGATTTCACTCTCCTACGCCCCCCTGGAGTACCAGGCACCCACATGCTGATAGTAAGATGATGCATGCTGCCAAGACACCCTGTCTCTGTCCCATGTGTAGCCACCATGCCAACCCAAAGCACTGGGCTAGGGCCTGAAAAGAGCTCCTTCCAGACTTTAGGCATCACCACTAGAATCTTCAGACATAATTGGAATTCTGAATTATGTGCAACCAATAAAGACGAGACGTAGATGAGACACAGTAAGAGCCATCAAAGCCATACTACTGAACATAGCATGCCCCCTTCCTCCTGATCATCCAGCTGGTGGTGTTCATTGGATCTACAAGCCAGAAGTGCTTGCTATCACAGAGGAAACTGCATTCTTGCTTCCAGTGTTGTGTGCAGATTGGTTATCGGACTGTTGCCTCCATGCTGGCTTCATCTGTGGCAATGGAACACACCTCCCCACTCGCTGATAAGGTTAAGGCCTTCTTAGCTAATCCAGCTACTTTTGTGACTGCTGCCCCTGTGGCAACAGCTATCGCTGCTGCTCTTGCTTCTGCGGCCTCACCCAAAATTGAAGCCAAGGGAGAGTCTGAGGAGTCAGGCATGATTTTGGGATTTTGACTAATTACAAAGTCTCGACCAATTCAGCCAGCTTTATTTGTAAATTATGGAAATCAAGACTTAGATTTGGGTGATGAGGCAATTATCTAAAAACACATAGATTTAAAAAATGACAGAGAACTGGGGATATAGCCCCATTAGGGAGTGCTTGCTCGTCGTAGGGAAGCCTTGGATTCAGGCTCCCATCTTGGGAGAAGGAGAAGTTAAGCTATTCTCTGCCTTTGTAATTAAAAGAAGGCACAGATTGGAGCCAAACATGGTGGTCCATGCCTGTAATTGCAGCACTCAGGAGGCTCCTAAGTTCAAGGCTATCCTGGGCTATATAGGAAAACTGTCTCAAGAAGAAAAGGAACAGCACAGATTGAAGTTTCAATAAATTACTAAAACCCCTAGGTTTTTGAAACAGCCAGTTTTTTTAACTACATGGTTCTGGTGGCCTCAAACTCACTAGGTAGAACAGGCTAGCCTTGAAATTGCAATGCTCCTACCTCAGCCTCCTAGAGCTGGAGTGTGTGTGTACCACCATGCTCAACTTTGTCTCATATTTCTCAACATTCACATTGTTTATATTTGTGAACTTGCTGACAATCTATGGTATCATCAGATTTAATGACAACAAAATAGGATGTTTGCTGTGGGATGTTCTGTATGGCAAATGTGTTGTTGATTAGTCAATAAATAAAACACTGATTGGCCAGTGGCTAGGCAGGAAGTGTAGGCGGGACAAGGAGGAAAATAAAGCTGGGAAGTGGAAGGCTGAGTCAGAGACACTGCCAGCCGCCACGATGAGAAACAGCATGTGAGATGCCGGTAAGCCACGAGCCATGTGGCAAGGTATAGATTAATAGAAATGGATTAATTTAAGCTGTAAGAACAGTTAGCAAGAAGCCTGCCATGGCCATACAGTTTGTAACCAATATAAGTCTTTGTATTTACTTGGTCGGGTCTGAGCGGCTGTGGGACTGGCAGGTGAGAGAGATTTGTCTAGACTGTGGGCCAGGCAGGAAAACTCTAGCTACAGATGTTTATAATCTTAAATCAAAAATGCAAATTGTTGGGCATGGTGACACATAACCTGTAATCAATCCTGGCACTTGGGAGGCAGAGATGGGTAGATCTCTGTGAGTCTGAGGCCACCCTGGGCCACATAGTGACATCCTGTTTCAAAAAGAAAAAAGAAAAGAAAGAGACAAAGAATGTGTACTAAGTTCAGAGGCTGAGGTCTATCTCAGTGGGACTTGCCTAATATTCCCAAGGCCCTGAATCCTCAGCACTGCAATTACTAATTAGTTAAGTATTTTGGTTTTTTTCTTTTCTTTTTTCTTTCTCTCTCTCTCTCTTTCTTTCTTTTTTTTTTCACAAGGTTTCTCTGTGTAGCCCTGGCTGTCCTAGAACTCACTCTGTAGCCCAGGCTGGCCCCGAACTCAGTACTCTGCTTGCCTCTGCCTCCCAAGAGCTGAAATCGAAGGGGTGCACCGCCGCCACTGCTGCCACGGCCACTACCATCCCCACCTGGCACTAATTAGATAACTAAATTGAGTAGGGCTAGACACAGTGGTGCACACCTGGAGTCCTCGCACTTGGGAGGCAGGAGGATCAGGAGTTAAGGCAGGTAGTCTCCCTTATGTAGCTGGAGGCCAGTCTTTTTGATATTAATATAAAATATGAGGAAGATGACCGCTACTTTGGGGGGAAGCAGAAAGGGAAACAGAGGCCTCTAGGAGATTAGTAACTTTTTTTTTTTATTATTATGGGGGCATGTGCCTGTGCCATAGTGCCCGCATGGAAATCGGAGGATGAATTTATGGAGTCACTTCTCTCCATCTTTTATGTCCCAGGAATTAAACTCAGGTCATAGGCTTCCAAGGCAGATGCTTTGCCCACTGGCCTGTGAGACTGGTAATATTTCTTGGTCTGAGTGGTTGCATGTGTTTACTATGTAATATTTCATCAAGTGTTCATTTGTGATTTGTGTAATAGTCTCTGTGTTAACATTTTTAAAAAGAGAAGTTGAGTATTAGCAATGGAATAAACAAACCTATGATTAAGCATAGCTGTTTACCTCCAAAAAGTAAAATGAAATTAGCAAGTAAGAGCTGGGCAGGGCAGTGGTGGCACACACCTTTAATCCCAGCATTCAGGAGGCAGAGGTAGGGGGATCTCTGAGTTCCAGGACAGCCAGAACTGTTACACAGAGAAATCCTGTCTTGACAAAAAAAAAAAAAAAAAAAAAAAAAAAAAAAAAAAAAAGCAATACGTTTCCCTTCTCTGTGGTTAGGATGGGTTTTTTGGAGAGAACAGTATTGTGGTTTTTATCACTCTCGGTCTCCCTTAGTTTTCTGTTGTACAACCCAGAGCAAGCAGCACTGGGCACTTGGTAAACCCTTCAGAGGAACTGACCAAATTCCAAAAGAAGCGATTTGATAAGCTAGAGCTACTTCTGTGCTGAAACACCATATTAGTTGTTTATTGCTAGGTTAAAGGAATGTTTAAACAAACTGTCAGTGACTCTCAGTTTCTCTGAGTAAGGAAATTAGGAGTAACTTAGCTGGCAGGTTCAGTCTTAGGGTCTTTTAAAGGTACAGTTGGGCTAGAAAGATGACTTAGTGGTTAAGAGCATTTGTTGATCTTGCAGAGGACCAGGGTTGTTTCTAGCACCTATGTGGTAGTTCACAACCATCCATAACTAATTCCAGAGGATGGAACACTCTTATGACCTCTGCAGGCATCAGGCACACCCATGGTACACAGACAGACATGCAGGCAAAACACCCATACACATAAAATTAAGAGTAAGTACTGTCAATGAAAACAGGCTGGCAAGGTAGTACTGGTGATTCACAGGAGGCCTCAACTCAAAGTGTGGGCCTCTCTAGTGTTACTGAATTGCCCTCACAACATAGCAACTGGCTTTCTCCAGAGCTAGTGTTCTGTGAGAAAACAGGCAGAGGTGACAGTGTCTTCTGTGACATAAGCTGG